ATTCTCAGGTGAGATAAAGCCAGTAACTGTGCACAGCAAGGCCTGACTGACAGAGCTCTGGGGCTCTGGACACACATATGTCGACAGGAAACTGTCAGCAGCATTTTCACTGAAAACATACATTGTTAAATTGAGAAATGCAGTCAAAACACACCCAGAACTCCTTTATTGTCATAGACAATTCATTTAGTCTCTGTGCCACAGTCTTCAGGTACTAAATGTACAATATATGGAGCCAATTCGACTATTTAGCAGATGACAATCCTACAAGAGCGGTGCATGATACAGCAACTGGCTTTTGTGAATTTAACACTTCATAACTGTTCCTCAGCTCACTCACCAGCTGATGTCCAGGTTTACCGCTCCAAGCCACTCCAAGAAGTGATGTGGGTCACATGACAGTGTCTTTCCTTGTATATCTGATGGGTAAAGTGTGGGACATGGTATATTTTTCAGGGTGTGATGGCTGAAAGCAGGCTTGTGCTCCTCGTATGAGTACCGGGACAACAGCTTGTTAAGAGTCTGATCTTCATCTGAACCTGAAAAATTCGGAAAAACAAAAGGCTAAGGCAATTTAAAAATGTGTTTGTTAAGGTCAGTGATGGGGATGATGGATTACTTAAGACAAACCTGTGTTGTATTTAGTGAAAAGAAAGTCATATCTGAGTGGTAGTCTGTCCTTCAAACTTGAGAGAACCCGCTGGTATCGTTTGGTGCCTGGGGTCAAGCTTTTGTCAGTGAGATCCAGAGTCACGACTGCAAAACAAAGACATTTTATAATTATTATAATACGAGTTTTTGTTCACACAGAAAATGTTATGTTTCACATTAAAACACCTTCATTTCATGCATAAAAAGCTACTGAGAATAAAGAGATTTACCAAATCTCATGGCTTTTTTGTGATTGTACAGAGACGGGCGTCCCTCCAAGCCAAGTTGTTCATATGTGTCTTTATCTAGAGACAAAATTAACTGACCTGAAAAAAAAAAAGTTTAAAATGAACATTTCATATCTATTAGTCCATGTCTATATACTAATGTGCTTGTCACAATTAACTCTTAGCAGATGTTGGCATTTTAAATTAAACCAAATAGCAAGTATGTTAATATTAATATAGTAATAACTTTAAAATAAAGGGGGGGGGGGGGGGGGCAAAAGGTGGCAATATAAAATGTATAGAACATAACTTCTGGACTTACAGAATATTGTGATTAATGTAAAATAATAAATTAACCAACCACATTGATTCAATATATCAAAAGTATTAGAGTTTGAAGACAAGCGATTATCTCAATTATAGTAGGAAAAAAAGTTTCAAAACCATGTCATTTTATGTGTTTTTTTTTAAATACACTAAGGACCAGTTGCATAAACATAGTCACTGTGTTACCACTGTGTCTTAAAAACTAGTTTGATTAGCCAGCAGTTAACCAAGTGGTAATCAGTCTTAATTTTCAGATTCAAATCAGACCAATCTACGTTATGTAAAATACATCTTTTTTTATTATTATGACTCATCCTGCAGAAATGATGACTAACTTTTAAGACTAGTCTAAGCTGTTTATGCAACCGGCCATCCAGACAATGCTGTTTATCCCTGTAAGTGTCTTGCTTACCGCTGGAAAGAAGTGCAATGGCATTGTCTTCATCAATTTTGGTGTTGTAAGAAAGCGCATAGAAGTTTCCTGCGTACAAAGATAAAAATCGAAATATCTGATTCAACACAAAAAAAAATGATATTGACGTACAATAGCATATTTCTTCTCCTACCCTTCTTTACAAGCGACTCGAGGAAAGTTTCTTCCAGAAGTTGATAAACCGGCAGATCCCGCACTAAATAGTAAGAGCTGAAGCTGTGGAGGACGCTGCTGATATTCGCAGGCAGGATCCCACATTCAGGTATCAGCACTGAGATCTGCGGACACAGCGGCATCCACATACAATCGAAGCACAGTTGAAACATCAATATGTTCAGCAAACGTTTAAATGGTTAAACTCACTTTGTAATTAAAGTTGTGCTTCGACACGTGGATGTCATGCCGGGACTTTTCATTCAAGAAGTTTGATTTCTCGCACACCAACAGGCTTCTCGGGCACTTTTCCAGCTCTGGCGACATTTTGATATCTACGCGCAATGTCTACATTTTTATGAGATCAGTCGAGCAAAAAGAAACAAGCTGATAGAACTCCCTGGTTATGTGGCTTAATGTTTCAAAAAAACTGCTAGCAACATCTGTCGCAAACATTTGACGTCAGTTCCTGCTCACGGCGGGCTCATAAAACAGTTTGGAATCCATCTTATCCCCGTTTTAAAACTGAATTCATATCTCTTCTTAAATCTCTTAGTTGTATAAATAACAAAAAATCCCAAAGATTTATAAAATATTATGAAGAGATGTTTAAAGAAAATACATGTATTTAAAAGCTTTCCCTGTATATTAATGTTTGTGTTATTGTATCAATGGTAATGTATGCATTCTTGTGTCTCCTTGTCTTGTCATCTTTTGTTTTTCATGGTTTTTTGTATAATTCTTTTTTTTTTTTTTATGTCTCTCTCTTTGTTTTATTATATGTATTTGTATGTAATTCCTTGACAATGTTCTTATGCTATTGAGCATTAATTAAAAAATAAAACAGTTTGGATTTGTTACTTTATCTATTTTAAAAGCTGTTCGGGTTATTCTGATTTATTATAAATAACGTTCCATGAGGGTAAATCAGTATAACCGAGTTACTACCAAAACTAGAAACGATAATAGACCTAAAAAAATTTTTTTTATAATAATAATAAATAATTAAAAAACTAGAATGACTTATATATATATATAGCCTAAATGATCCTGCTCAATAATACATAATGGTTAGCTAAAATACCCTTAAGTGTTAATGTCTTTAAAAAAAGGGAAAAGATAGCAATCCCCCCTTTTAAAGGGAATTATGCAAGACATTTGTTATTTATAGGCTATATGTAAAACCCCAGTGTCAAATGTCCCCAATTACCTAATTTACCCCTTTCAAAATCTTAAAGAATTTAATCATAATTTGGAATCAATCCAAAAGAATCCTCTAAGATTAAAGGGACAGTTCAATCAAAAATTGTAATCATTTGTTGTTCTAAACCTGCATGAGTTTATTTCTTCTGTTGAACACAAATGAAGATATTTTGAAGAAAGTATTTTTTTTTCTTTCCCCAACTGATAAGTTTCCAGCATTCTTCAAAATATCTTCAACAGAACAAATAAACTCATACAGGCTTGGACCAACATGGTGAGTAAATAATGACAGAATTTTTCATTTTTGGGTGAACTATTCCTTTAAAACAAGATTCTACTAACTGAAATTCTGGAGGGGAAAACAACTTCAACATAATAATAATGTAATATAATTATTAAACCAACTGCACTCTGTTGTCATAAAGGGTGTAAACAGATCCACGTGCAGAAAAATGTGCTCACTGTCATGTGCGCACAAGCACTCTGCAGTACGTCATACTGTTTCTGCACTAGACAATGATTGACAGACCAGACAACATACAGTGGAAGACCAAATGTGACTTTAAAGATTGGATGTTCTTTACGATTCTTTATTATTACATAATACATTTTGCTTTAGTCTAACTAGGGAACAAATTATACATTTTTTTGGGCTACTCTAAATAAATATGAATTAAATTACATTAATTACAGAAGAAAAATCTTGTCACTTGTCAAAATAAATAGCTTAAATAAATAAAAAATTGCACAATGTAAAATCTTTGTTTTTTATTTATTGATAAATATATTAAATAACTATGATTATGTCCTCAAAGCCCTAGGCAGGTTTCTGGCTTTTAAAAGTATATATTTTTTTGCTGATTAGACATCAATAATTTGTTTGCAAAGACAAGTGACGTTGCTGTGACGCAACTCATGTGCACGTAGTATTTGTCAAGCATCTTTCTTACGCAAAGACTGCAGGTCCAGCTCTTATATTTAAAAGACCTTCTGCTCCTCAATTACATCTGAAGTGGTCGATATGATGAATACTCATGGACAAGGAGCAGTCAGAGGAAACTCAAACTTCAGACAAGACAGAGTGTCTGTCTGAAACAGAATCATCCCCTTATTCACCAAAAACCAACAGGCAAAGAGTCAAATCTCTGCCTGTAGACCTATACCAGCATGAATCTTCCTCACACAAGGAACATCCAGTCCGTGGAAAGAGAGTCCAGTTTGCAGACATGATGGGGTTGAATCTAGCAAACGTCAGACACTTTGACATCTCTGATGATGCAAATGAAACATCTGGACTCCAGAATCATCCTCCAAACCAGCAGCTTCAGCATCTGAATTCAGCACGTTTAGCACCAGCCTTTGAAATGCCTGTTAGTTCGCTGGAGTTTGATATGAAGTCTCGCCGTGTGGGAGTCGCATTGGAGAGTGTCACAATAACCGCTTCTGAAGTGAAGGGTGTGATAAGAGTGATGCAGAGCAACGCAAGAGAAGCTGGGGTCAGGTACACTTTAAACAACTGGCTGACATTTTCGGATATACAAGCTGCATTAAGACTGAATGAAGAAAAGGGGCTAGAGTGGGAAAAGTTTGACTTCGTTTTGCGCACGCCATTCTGTTTTGACAAAGATTCATCAGTGCATTTCGCAGTGTATTGTCAAACTGATCACGGAAAATACTGGGACAATAATGATGGACAGAACTACACTTTGAGGATTCAGACACACTATACTTGACAATACAAGGATTTAATTGATGCAACGATCTGAAATTTAGTTCAATAAAGTGAACTTGACTTTTAGTTGCATGATCATTTATCTTAATCGTTTGAACACATTTTAATTAAGTCATACTACCATATTGTAGGTAATATGTTTAGTCTTGCCATATGTCTTAAAGATCTGCAAAACGAACTTAAGTGTTGTTGCTCAAATGTAGGTAATCTATTTGTGTAATTTTTTTTCTATTTACATTGATTCTCATATTCTAGCCATTCATTATATGCATCTTATTTATTGACAAAAAAAATATAACATAAACATACATTTACAGTATACTCTAAATTACCATTTTACAAACATGGTCGACTAGTGTTGCAGCTCCCAGGATAAACTGATTTGTCATTAACAAACCAGACATTTTGATTCTGAAGACACTTATAAATGAGGCTCTTTTTCAACAATGGTCTTCTGGGCAGAATACAGATGGCCAATGGAAACCTGTGAGACAAGGATAAGAGATACTTAGATATAGGACACTCAATGTGATTTTAATTATTAGCAACTCTAAATAGTATTACATTCTCCTATTTGGAACAGGCCATTCAAGTTCGTTGGCCATAAAAATCATATTGGAATATTAAACAAAGCTGGCATTGCTTGCCTGTCTCTTGATGGCTGCCAGATTCTCTCTAGCGTGATTTATGAGCATATCCAGTGTTTTGGGGTTGTCAACATGAAGGTTCTCCCTGAAGCCATCTTTCACTCTGCGAAGTGCGTATGTTCTGAAAACAAACAGTATTTTTATAGTAAATAACCAGTAGATGGGACATAATAGTTTAAATATAAAACGAATTAAAAAGACATGCGTCGTTTACATACATACATACATACATACATACATACATACATACATACATATTTGTCAACATGAAGGTTCTCCCTGAAGCCATCTTTCACTCTGCGAAGTGCGTATGTTCTGAAAACAAACAGTATTTTTATAGTAAATAACCAGTAGATGGGACATAATAGTTTAAATATAAAACGAATTAAAAAGACTTGCGTCGTTTACATACATACATACATACATATATATATATATATATATATATATATAAATTATCGTTTAAAATTACTAGTTTAATAATACAGTGACAACTAGACTAAGACAACATTCACTAATATATATAATTATAATTTATACAGAATATTTTTTCACAGTGAATAATAAAAAGCGTACCTGTAATTATATGAGGGGAATTTTTTACTCTCTTTCATAAGCATCCTGTAGAGAGAGATCACTTGAGCTCTGCTGCACGACGCCATGTTGATTTCAGTGTAGTTCTTCTCGTGTTGCGTTGAGTTGCGTTTGATACATCGCCATCTAGTGTCAGGAGCCGTTGAGCAGATGGCCGTGGAATGTAACGCACTATGTGCATTCCTACAATAAAGAGGCAAATGCCATTTTTAGTACCAGTACATTTCAGGACATTTTTGCAGATTACCAACCCATGGCAGTGTTTCATTCTTCCGACTGTATATTAAAATGGAAATGCAATTTACTGGAGGTGCACTTTTTGTGCAATTTTTCAATGCTACTTTTTATGAGCGCTATATAGGGCAGTTAACATCACATTAGGAGAAATTCATGTCCACAGTAGTGTTGTGCCTGGGGAGACCACAGAAGATCCCTAGGGCCGCATCATGGCTGACTGTGGGCATATGGGGCCTCATCACACTAACTGTGCCGTGTAAAACAAGACTGATCACTTTTTGCTAAATGAAAACTATGTGGAAAAAACATAGACTCCTGAAACAACTGGGTCTAATGTATGTACTGTATGTATCTTTTACTGTTATTTAACTAGCAAATATATCTGAATAACACTTCTGGTGATCAAGGAATTCAACTACCATCTTCAAAATTCATGTTTGTTTGTTTGTTTGTAATTAGAGGTGCACAATAACAGAACGAAACACCACCATCTCAAAAATTCCTGTTTGTTTGTTTAATAAATAGTGATATACAATAGGGGAATGAATCACTATCATTTCCAGAATTCGTGTTTGTTTGTTTTATAATTAGTGGTGGACTATAGGGTTGACAAAAATCACTATCATTTCCAAAATGCATGTTTGTTTGTTTTGTAATTAATAGTGAACAATAAAGGAATTAAACACTGCTATCTCCAGAATTCATGTTTGTTTGTTTGTTTTGTAATTAGTACACAATAAAGGAATTAACACCGCCATCTCCAGAATTCATGTTTGTTTATATATATATATATATTTTTTTTTTTTTTTTTGCAAACTTACTGTAGCACTTATACTCCATACTCTATCATTTAGATGAAAAGCCAGCCAGAGAACCTGAGTAACCTCAGCTTCCTGAAGTATACCCCGCAGCTACCATACAAAATTAAATTCATTACAAATGTTAACATCTTCATGAGCATTGAGCTGAACCATTGAAAGTCTCCGTCTCTCATCCTTGACTTTCTGCATTCAAACATGTCACCTGTGTTTATTATTCATCCTCTGCTTCTGCTGCTTCCATTTCCACAGCGTCCACATAGGATCTACCGTCTGCCCCATTTACTCACACAACCTTCTGCATTATTAACAACCAGAAAGAGCCTGGACTCTTTCTGTTTTGTAGCCCACAGAACGGAAGACATGACGGTACAATGGCCTTCTTCTACGTGACAGTTATTCAGTATTTTGCATATAAAGAAACTGGTTCTGATCAATTTAAGATGCACAGAAGAATTCTATATGCATAAAGTCATGATTCATATGATAAGCAGACCTGTTTGATGGACTTTAAGTACATCTACACTGGTAATTAGAGTCTTCACAGGTACATAGAGCTGATATTTTCACAATAAGATGGTGCACATTACGTAGTATTATTGCTCTAGACAGCTGGTGTTTGTAAAGAGCACATTCTGACTCTCCTCAGATACCAACTGCCATCATCTGCTCTGACAATGCCTTAAATATATTCATCAGAGGCATTTCCATGAATTATACTAAACTTTTATGACATTTACAATTAAACATCTAGTCGTATTAACTGTTTTCAACTGGATTTTTTTTAACTATATTTAAAGCATGGGAATATGGTTCAGTATGTTCACTCAATATTTCTAAGAATGCCATATAAGTACAATTAGCAATTAGAAACATTTGTTCTCAGAAATTGCTAGTAAATTCTACAAACAATTACAAAGAATGGCAACTAATACAATGAATTAAACATGATATTTTGAAGTAGAACGTAAATAGTATTTTCTTGTAAAACACACTACTGTAACTAATAAAGTAGACTATTTATATACAAGCTTACTATGTTCACCTGCAATGTTGTCCTGCAAATCTCTAGTTATATCTATTTCTGCTACCAAAACATGCGAAGCGATCATGTCCGAGTGATTTATTGTGTTCGGGATGCTGTCTTGAGTATGGAGGAGTCGCTAAATTATTAAACACTTATCTTAAAAACTGGATCTTGCATATACAGTACAGAGACAATTAATTTGTGCATATGTGATGCAATCGATGTTGATTGAATAAATAAAGGAAATCTTGTTTAATTTTCCACTCACAGATCCCACTTACAGTATATTCTTCTCTCAAGGTGACTGAATTAGATTTGCTTTTATTTTGTTCACATCAAATTATGTAGCAAACAAAAAGACAGATGTGTTTGAGTCGATGAATGCACAATCCCTTCAGGGAATGCTTAGGACCTTCAGCACAGCACGTGTTAATAACCAGGTCATGGTCCTATTTCAAGGGCTCATATTCACAATAAAAAGAGCATCTGGGCCTCTCCTGCCATTAATATTCCACCAGAGATGTGCCCCCATTTTAATATGTATTGTGTGTGTCTTGCTTTAGACAGATGTTCAGTTTTTTTTTGCTATCATTAAAGAGGAAAAACGCTGGGGGGATGAGCATGCAACTCCTCGAGGAAAATATATGGAATTACTTGCATTTAGCAGTTCATTTTATTTAAAGCAACTCAATGTACTGGGAGGGGGTGACAGAGCTTGAACCCACTGAAACTATTTAGATGATCCAGAATCTCAAAATACAACAAATCATATGTGATGTACTGTATGGAGAAGTCAAACAAGCAACAACAACAAAAAAACTTTAAAAAATCAGGGTGTTTATTCAAACATTTGATTTACTTGATTCATATTTCATTTGCTTCAGTGTCAACAAAAGATGAGACACTTCTCAAATTTGCCCAAATGCCTTTTTAATTTATAAGTATACATTTACAAGTAAATGTCATTATCCTATACTGTATTAAAATAATCAGTTTATTGAGTTAATTTTATTTGGGCAGATTGGTCTATGAAGAAAAAAGTCTGTGATGTTAAATATGTGCTTTTCAGACAATAATATGTATTTTAGGTGTGCTTTAAATAATAATAATAAAAATGATTCTAATTATTGGTCCTCATTGTAGAATGCACTGTTTTTACCTAATAATGGTCCAAGAAGAAAAAATGTGTTTTAAAATTTTTTTTCTCATATAATAATATAATGTAATTCACATTTTTACTTTGAACTATTTTCAGATTTTGGTAAAAAAAAAAAAAAAGACCTAAGACCCATTTAAGAGAGTTACTTCGGAATTCTTCCATAGGTCAAGGAGTGCCAACGAGTCCTATATTTAACATAATCATCATATTATGTGAATCAAAACATGTACTGAGTCAGTTGAAGAGAGACAGGGATGCATATTATCCATTCTGTAACTTGTTTCAGGTCAGATCTTCAGGTTTATTACTCAAAAGCAAGCCAAACCACCAGTGTGGTAAAACACATCAGCAGTATCTTCAGTTCCACTGGTAATAAAACTCTGGATACTCCATTATCCCCGGAGCATAATTCAAACAAGCTTCCCTGATAGTTCAAGCTCCGGGACTGCAGTTTCAGTTTTTCCCAAAGGTCTGTTGCTCCTTCTTGACAATCTGCGATTGCGGTGGAGGCACACGAGTGGAAGTCATTCCAATATCTGCATGAGGATAAACATAAAGTGCACAATCTGTTTTAGTCCTTGCGAATGAAATATGTTTCAGTATTGTGAGTCTGAGTCACGGATGGCACGAGTTCCATCCGTCGGCGCCATCATGTAAGATGGCGCCCACACTGATGGCTGCCTCCGTGGCGTGCTCCGCAGTTATCATTGAATCCATCCTCTGCACTTCAATAACTGTCTGGTTCAGCTCAGCTACCAAATCTGACCTCAGAAGACTACAGAGGGTAGTCCGGACTGCTTCTGAGTTCTACTCACGGATACACTCTTAAAAATAAAGGTGCTTCAAGAGGTTCTTCAAGCAATGCCATAGATTAGTGAAACAGAAAGGTTCTTCAGATGTTAAAAGTTCTTTATGGAACCATTTAGACAAAAAGGTTCTTCTACGGCATCGTGAAGCACCTTTATTTTTAAGAGTGTATCTGAATATGAGAAAGACCACCAGATGTTTAATACTTAGCTTCTTCCAGAAATGATTGCAGACAGTGTGTACTTACGAGCAGATGGTCTGTAGGTTTTCGCTGTCATCCAGCTCTTGGGGATAGTTCACCATGTTTTCTCCCAGGCTGAGCAGGCAGTCTGAGAAACCTTTAAATACGTTTTCACATGTTCCTCCAGCACACGCTGCCTGTAACAATGAAACTGAAATACACCAGAATAAATCACCCAGAATAATACACACAAAATTTTGCACTTAAAAAAAGCTTGAGTATTTCATATCATCCTCAATTTATAATTTATAACCCAAACAGCCCAAATTAACTAAACTGTGACCTTCACAGTAACATTCAATAAATACATAGGCTAAAGATTACATTAAATAAAAAAAGGATATATTTTATAATGTATTTAAAGGGATCTTTTTATCAAAATAAAACGATTTTTTTTACTCCACAAATCTACAAACATTGATGTGTCCACAAATCAGAAACCTTTTAAGTTCAACATAATACAATGTCATAGATCACTATTTTCCAGAGACTCAAAATTCAATCAATTAACCTACATCTTTTGACTAAATCTCACAAAGGTATATGAAACGTGAAAGGTACATTCATATGAAATGACAAAATAAAAAAAAATAAAGAAAAGCATTGCCATTCATCAATGGTTTTGTCTTCATACACTTACACTTATGGATAATGAATTTACCCCAAATCAAGATTACATTTACAAAAAAAATAAATAAATCAACATTTAGTCCTTTTGTAAAATAAAAAATTTCTGACTATTACTAATATTTAAATATCTACTATTTTTGCTCATTACACATACTGCAAGAACAGTTGGCTCAAGGGGATCCAGTTTGAGTCTGAACAGGTCAAGTTCCAATCCCATGTCCCTTCTCTCATCCCTACTTTCCTGCCTCCACATTAATACACTATACAATAAACTATTATACAGTAGGTTACCTGTATACCTGTAGTATTAGAACCCCAAAAAATGCCCTCGTAAAATAAAATAAACTCTGAGTAAAATGTTTTAGTTTAGATTGCTCCGAGACCACTGATAAGCAGTAGGCTACATACTATTTACCATCAGATGGCACTGTTGTCAAATTGGTAAGGCTTATTGTGTGTAAAGCTACTAGAAGCATGTGTTTCTTCAACACATGCTTATACACAGGTAGCCTATTTCAAATAATAGTAACATCCATATATGCATAAACACTCATTACAACACAGAAGTGAGCTGTACCTGATAGCTGTATCAACTTGAACTATCAGCATTATTTTTAATTGTGTTCAATCTTATCGCTTTCTCAGTTTTTAATTTAGAGATCGTAAATTCGTAGTTCCATCCTATTTAAACCAAAAGCTTTACATTTAATTAATCAAAATTTTCTGTAAAAGAAACAATAGAGAAAATAAAAACTAAAAAAGGAAAAGGAAAGACAAAAAAACTTTAATCATACTAATACAAAGGAACATGGAACTTTGTGCAGGATGGAGAACACTATGTAGGCCAGAGGCAATGACCCAGGTCACTGTGGGTCAGAAACATTGCTTATACCAGCACAAGGTCACTCTCATGTGATTACATAAGGTGATGCAGAGACTGCTCTCTAGTGGCAGCACAACCACAAACTCACAGACCCAATGCTGTTGCTGTGACACCTCTCAGGTATAAGACTTATCCCAGTAAAAGTGATTTAAACCTCTAAGTTAATGTAACTAGTTAACAGTTTTTGAGACACATCTGTACATTAGTCAAATGCCCTAGCCTATATGAGTTAACTAGCCTATACAAATTTCAAGTGATAATGACTGAAGGTAAATGTTTTGAAATGTTTAAAGTTCTCTCCAAAGAATGGAAGTATCATCTCTCTCATAAATTATTTATTTGTTTACTTCTTGACTGTTAAAGCAAGTCGTTTTCACTCAAATTTAGCAAAATACGCAGCCTAATCTTAGCTCAGTTAAGAAACGGATTTGAGTATGTCAAAATGTAGCCTATATTTGTAACCAAATGCATCTTCAAGGTTGCAATATTTGCACGCTGAAAACTCAAACACCATTAGTCAAAATATGAACTATGTCACAGAAAAAGCTCCAAAGGACTTCTTAATACTTAGGATCTTTGCATACTGAGTTACATTCATAGACCCACGATTTGCACAGGGCTGTTGTCGAAATTCACAGAAAGGCGGGAGCTACGTCGAATTACTTCATCTTCGTCTTGACATTTAACTCCTCGTTTCTCTCTGAGACTATTAAACGCCCTTCCACAATATTTTTTGAGATGATGAATGCCCCATTATAGTATGACGACCAACAGGTGTTTGTCTTGTGATAGCAAGAAGGCACCAAAGCGTGTTGCATCATCAGTATCCTGTCACTATTACGGTTATATTTGAGTTTATATCGTGTCTACGAGTTTACATCGTTGTCTATGAGTTTAAATATCGTCTACGAGTTTATATCGTTGTCTACGAGTTTATATCGTCTACGAGTTTAAATATCGTCTACGAGTTTATATCATCTACGAGTTTATATCGTTTTCTACGAGCTTATATCGTCTACGAGTTTAAATATCGTCTACGAGTTTATATCATCTACGAGTTTATATCGTTGTCTACAAGTTTATATCGTGTCTACGAGTTTACATCGTGGTCTACGAGTTTATATCGTTGTCTACGAGTTTAAATCGTCTACGAGTTTAAATATCGTCTACGAGTTTATATCATCTACGAGTTTATATCGTTGTCTACAAGTTTATATCGTGTCTACGAGTTTATATCGTTGTCTACGAGTTTAAATATCATCTACGAGTTTATATCGTTGTCTACGAGTTTATATCATCTACGAGTTTAAATATCGTCTACGAGTTTATATCATCTACGAGTTTATATCGTTGTCTACAAGTTTATATCGTGTCTACGAGTTTACATCGTGGTCTACGAGTTTATATCGTTGTCTACGAGTTTAAATATCGTCTACGAGTTTATATCGTTGTCTACGAGTTTATATCGTCTACGAGTTTAAATATCGTCTACGAGTTTATATCATCTACGAGTTTATATCGTGGTCTAGGAGTTTATATCGTCTACGAGTTTATATCGTTGTCTACGAGTTTATATCGTGGTCTACGAGTTTATATCGTCTACGAGTTTAAATATCGTCTATGAGTTTATATTGTCTACGCAACATAAAATAGCAACTGTTATAAAATTTAAACAATATTTTATATACTTATAAATATACATTATCTCAAAATTAGTTTGTATGTCTACAAAAAGCTTTGAAAAGATGTTGTTGTTGTTAGACACTTGTTGCTACATTCAAATCTATCTATCTATCTATCTATCTATCTATCTATCGTGAATAATCAATCGGATGCGGCTGAAGGAGTGAAGTTTTCCACCCCTCCCGTAGAGATGCTCACAGCTGAACTCCAGTGGCAGCTTCAGTAACACACGTCCCCTTGGAGACTAGAGCAACACGTGATGCGTCTACTTATCACGTTCACTGAACAGCGCTCAGGAACACACTTTGAGGAAAAAGTGACTTTTCTGACCCTCATTCGTCGGAAGTGTCGATGGCCATCATTCCTTTAGGGAGCTAACACGGTGGGCGATGTGAAGTATCCAGTTGGCGAACTTTGCACATCCTCAAATACGCCATTTTGATCGCTCTCCGGAACAAGTTTGCAGTTTTTTTTTCTCGAAGTCCATCATCTCTTTTCACCATCACCATGTCTCGGCACAATCAGCCCAACCCCGACAAAGTCAAGCGTAAGTATTGTGCACTTTTCTACTTGTTGTTGTTGTTGTTTACGTTCTCCATCCTGCCGATTGCAAACTTTGGTGGATGGATACTATGATAGAAGTTTTTAAACTTGGAAAACCGAGGATGTTGAGATGATGTCCGATCTTTTTTCCTCGCCCGGGGTTTGTGCTTCCTCGTTTCATTCTCGCATCCAAAGGTTGAACGCCTGACTACAGGAATTCACTCGCGTCTAACCAGCGCACATGTAATTCATACCTGAGTTAACTTTAGCACTTTAAATAACCATACATTCAGTGTCACTAATGTGGCTTTATCTCCCATTTGACAAAAGGAAGTTTAGCTCATATATTGTCATCAAAAGTGAGTATTTTAGAGTGAACCGAAGAAGCATCCACATCTGAACTTTGATCGAAGCTAACGCGTGGGGGGTTGGACACGCTTCCCTTTATATTGTGACCTTGTCGGGACATGTTGTATTTACGTTTTATTTGTGCTTTCGACTTTTCCTCACCATCGACAAGTTATTATTGTTCACCAAACCACCCTTCTTTCGTCAGTCACACTTTGCAAACTTAATGTTTGGGAATGTCAAAAGTTTTAAAGGAGGAAGTTCGCTGTCGTCGTGACTATCTTTGGGTTGGGTTTGCTGCACGAGATGAACGCCGAATAGGCATACAAGAAAAGTCGGCTTTTATATTTGCACCAAGCAGCCACATCGACGATACAATTTAAACCATCTCAGTTTTGGATGACTAATTACTCGGATGCATCATATTGTTCGTGCGGGTGCGGGTGTGTATGTGCTTGCGCCCTCCTCCCATCATCCTCTGTTCGTTCTCGCGTCTCTTTGGAGAATCAGAATGTGCAGAGATCCGGATGAGCAGTTCACATTCCATTACCAAATTCAACACTGGGCTCCAGGAGGCCTGCATCATTCACTCGCTGCCTCCCCGCTATCCGCTGACTTTTAACTACATCTTGCTTGATTTGTACAGTAGCTTTTATCCAATGCACTAAAGTGCAATGGGGCACTAACCTTAAAGGGACAACTTTGTACCTTATCTTCCCTTAAAAGTTGCATATTACTACCTGAAAGTGGTGTAAAGTACTGTCTAAACCTTTTAGAGGTAAATAAAGGCCTTTTTCTTCAGTTGGTAATCTGAGGATATTGCTGAAATATTATGCTGTGGTTTATGGTGATCTACTGCATGGTGTATAATTATGTACAACCAGGGGTCCCGGAAGGTACTCCAGGGGGTCTGAAGAGACCACAGCCTATATAAAACATAGAATTAAATTACATTCCTCACAGATAATCTAATAAGCAGTATATAATGTAATTTTTGTTTTTATACTGGAGGTTCCTGGGTCTGTAAAAGTGGAAAACGTCTGATTTAGAGGTTTTATGTTTGGAATAAATTTTGCCCATCATCACCATAATAATATAGTTTTGAGAAACATTGCTAATTAAAGATAAGTCGCTATATTTTGTGCAATCGCAAAGTGATTTTAAAAGATTAAACCATTGCAAATGTACTCTGAACCAACGTGGGAATGTGTTGCTTCATCACCTTATGCAAATAGTTAACTTTTTTCGTTTCTGCATTACTTTATAAAAGCATCAACTTGTGCTTGTTTTTGCCTTTAATAATAACAATATATATTATATTTTAAGATTTTTTCGCTGTCTACTGTTTTCTCCACATGGAGAGGCAAGGTTAAAAAACAAATCCTCCTTTTCTCGTTTTTCTAATAGCTTCTCCTCTCACAATGCAGGCTGATGTAGGGTGGAGATGTGTTTGTTCAGACGCGTAAAGCAAGAAGACCATTGAAAATTCAAAGGCATGTTCTAGTGAACAGTCAACCAGTGGTCTGGGCTGTAATCTCCTCTGTCCTCAGCAGGGAGTCGCCAGAGTTGAATAGAGAAAACCCATTGTGAGCATCAGAGCTGCCGTGCTGATAGTGATAGAAAGGGCCATCAGCTTTTACTCCACTTTGTATTTAATCACTCTGAAGTGTATTTAAAGTCTCAACAGCCCTATTGAGTGGATAGATTCATTTTGTACTTTTGTTTTGGTCTATTTTAATATCGAGACGCAGCCTTGGAAATGTTTTAATAGACGGCTGGTACATCTTGATTAGCCTTGATTAATATAGATTAATTAAAATGAACTCTCTGGGGTTCCCTAGTAGACTTCCTTTGACAAACATGCCCAACCGTGATTGTTTACTGAGTGTAAAGACAGAGGGACCAGTCTATTGAAGTCCCAGCCTGGATGGAGAAACTTAGTTGGTCACCTCTCCGAGCCGTTTGCCCCTAGTGATGGGTGTTCTGTTCACTTATCCAGGGGTAGAGATGGGCATCCTGTTTCGCTCTGGAGCTATTTTTAACCTGTCTATTTTAGATAAGATTATGTTCCCTCTCACTCGAAGGGAATGGGAAGCTTGGTTTGGTCCTGGGGTGCTGAGTTCGACACGGTACCCTGTAGGGCTTAAGAAATGAGTTTGCAGATGGATGCTAACTATTTGCATGTTTTATTCAAATTTAAGACACAGTCTTTAAGAATGTTTAGTTTATGGCCAAATCAAAAAATGACTGTTGAAGGTTAATGGAATAGTTCGCCAAAAATGAATGTTTGGACACACTGTAAAAAAATCAAGTTGAGAAAACTTAAAAGTTCAAGGCAACCAGCTTCAGCAGATTTTTGAGTTTAAACTGAAAACTGAAAACAACAAGTTTAGAAAACTCACAAATCCCCTACAAAAACAAGTTGAGAAAACTCACAAATCTGCTGAAGCTAGTTGCCTTAAACTTTTAAGTTTTCTCGACTTTAAATTTTTTACAGCGCATAATTTACTCATCCGCATGTTGTTCCAAACCTGTACAACTTTCCTTCTTTACAAAAAAGATGATTTACAAAATTTCTCTTTTTTTCTCTCCATACAATGAAAGTCAGTGGGATCTAACATTGTTTTTAACCCTGTTGACTTTCATTGAGTGAATAAAAATAGAAATAAAGAAATAAAGTCATACAGGTTTGGAAAACATGAGGGTGAAGAAATTTAAATATCATATCAAAAGAAAAATATCCTTTTATGTATATTTTTGCATTGGAATGTAGAGAATATACTGTAAATGAATTTGACCTTCAGTCCATGCGTGTCAGTTAAGTTTGATTTTTGGCCTTTCGTAGTGAAAAGTTTGGGCATCTCAGGACTAAATTGTTTACTTTTTAAAAGATAAAGTGTAGTAAAGAAAAGCTAAAAGTGAAACCGAGTCCTCATGAAAATGCTTTGGTGTAAGTGGGACATGGATGACAGGAAATAGAGCAGCCTGTGTGGATAGAGGAAGTTAGAAAAAGATCAAAACAATAGGTAGCATAGCCTTACACTGTTTGTTTGAGAATTAGTTTTGTGTGATAGTCAATCAAACAGGTCATAATAGTCAAAGTGTGATGTTTTACCACAATCATAAATAGTTTAGCTCGCTAGCTCTCCTTTTTGAGGAATTGTGAGCTTTGCTTTCACTTTTTTACGTTTGTCTGTGAGAAAAAGAAGTCGAATCACACACGGCTTTGCAGGCCTCCTTCTTTGCCTCCCCCTGCTACTTCCCCCGCCCCTCTTCTCCCACCCTGCCTCTGTTGCTGACTAAACAGTTTTGTCAGCTGGCAGTTGCCCACAGTCTGTGAATTTTTGATAGCTTCTAGAGAGGGAGCACAGCGTAGGGAGGTGGAGATGCTGAAGAAACGCTCTTGTTGCTCATTAAGGAGTGAAGGAGGGAGACAGAAACGGGAAGATGGCAGGTCGAGTCACATTTTGGAACCAGTTCGTCTTGTACTAGCATTCTTTGCAGGCTTCCCAGTTTCGTGTTCAAGCACTGAACAAACATTTGAAAGATATGAAAATATGCCTGTGGCTAATTCATCTGTATCACGTATAGGGGTTGCTAAAAGTCAAATTTTTGCTTTGTAAACTGAGAGAAATTTGGGTTATGATCTGACATAAGTGTCACAAAGCGCTTCTAATCTAATGACGCAGTGAGTGATGTTACGCATGTCATGCATAATTTTCTGAAATCTCATGACAAAGCTGTGACTTTTGTTTCAGTTCCAGTTCATTGTAGTGATTCACGAGATGGAAAAAGCAATGAGGGAGGGAAGGTGTGTGACTGAGTGCAGGAGTCTAAAACTGGGAAATCTAGGTGTGCACAAACTGTCGTCCTCTTGTGTTGACCTGCATGGACTTTGAATCATACAGTCTCCTCTCGCTAAGCGCAAGAAGGACTGAGGACAGATCCTCCTCTGTGTCTCTGAGAGCGATGTGCAATGGGAAACAGATGTGGCTGGGCTGTTAGCTCAGTGCTTTCCTTCAAAGAGCTTCAATTAGCATGTCCGTATACAGAACGACTTCATAAGACATATTTGGTCAGCTTCATAGATTTGTTATTGTAAATTCCTTGTCTGTCAGCTTTGCAGCACAGTTTGCACCAGTTTGTCTGGAATTTTCCCAATTTTTGCCAAACAAATGCATTGCAGTGATATTTGACCCATAAATTAAACTTATTCATGACGTTTAAAAAAAAAAGCATCTTAGTGTTATAATAGAAGTTACTTCATGGCTCTATATTTCACATCTTTTGAAGCCATATGATAGCAAATGTGTGAGTAATAGTTCAACATTTAAGTCGTTACTCACTGACAATCTTGACCTGCTTTAGTTGAGCAAAGTTTGATGCCTGATTCTTGGAAAATGTGCTTTTTGAGTCTTTTTTTAATGAATTAATTGATTCTGTTCACAACAAATGTTTAAATAATCCGTTCATGAATCGTAACAGTTCCAGTTGCAATGGTTAAATGTTCACTGGAGTGAAGGATTATCATTTGGTTGCAGTTTGGTTTATTTCTCACACAAAACTATAATGTGGCTTCAGAAGACTTGGAATATGATGTATAAGTCATATGAACTATTTGTCATTTTGGAGGTCATTATATTTAAAATAGTGAGA